GGGGGGGGTTGTACAAGTGCATACTGTGTACACATTAGAATTCTACATGGTCGTATTACAAATATATGTGGAAAAATGTTTTAACTTGTAAAGCTCTACACCTTCTGTTTGCGTCCTACTTCTGGATCTTAAAAAGCTGGCTGTACACTTCTTGTCCATGCCCCAGTTCTGTGGATTCATAAGCTATCAGCCAGTTGTTGTCTGTTTGGACCACAGAGCTGGCGAAAAGACAAAAGAGACCTTTTTGCTGATTGGCTCACACTTCATTTTCGTCCACGTCCATTCCCATGTCCGTCATTCGCTTCGACTCCGATGAGTCTGCGCCGTTTGTCTGTGATGTAGGTATCTCCGCCCATTTCTGCACGGCTGCTTGAGCAAAAAGGACGTAAAAGATGCCACCGGAAATATAGACGGCCGCCGCGATGAAGAAAGCCACCTGCCACTCCTCCCTCGTTTTCTGAGGAAAATGAGAGTTTATTTTTCTTTTTAATGTAGATATTTTTACGCCCCTATTCCCACAATTTCGATGATTTAGGAGGCCTTAATTACGGTAGAGACATTGGTAGAGACAGTTAGGTTTAAAGGATCATCGCCGGAGCAATGGGGACCGTGCACTGAGCTTGAGACCTGATCCAGTACATGGAGAAAAAAGTAGATGCAGACGACGAGGACAGGGAGAGGGGAGAACAAACCGAAAGCGAAGGGCAGGCGAGAGGACGAGATGAGACGTAGGAAAAAGGCGGACAGACTGGGTAAAAAATATATGCGGATAGGGTTCGGGAATTGTCGGAGCGTGAACCAGAGAAGATCCATCATTGACAGGCTGGTTTATGATTTTGATGTGCTTTTGTTACAAGAAATACGGTTAGAGGCTAGGACCAGAATTAACCTTCCTGGTTACAGTTTTTTAAGCAACCCCGTAAATGATGGACATAGAACAGCTATTTTGGTGAATGACAGCATTGAACATAAGATTTTGAATGTGGAAGAATGGAGCCAGCATGGTAGGGAAGTACAGGGTATCCAAATTAAAGGTGGCGACATCAGATGGAATGTGTTCAACATCTATGCTGGAAATAACCAGTCGGTTCATGAGAGGGACTGGAATTTTTTGTGTGATCTTGCAGAGATGCCGGGTGAACGCACAATTATCTGCGGGGACTTTAACGCGAGAGCAGCAGAGTGGGGCAATGCAACAGAGAATGGACAAGGAATAGCACTCAGAGAAACACTGTTAGAGATGCCACTGATTTGCATAAACGATGGAAGACCTACTAGACTGGCAACGAGACCGGGAGATTCGGATGGGGTTATAGATATGGCTTTGGTGTCATCTGGGGCGACTCTCTACACAAAGTGGGACGTTTTAGGGCAACACGAAAGTGATCACCTTCCATGCATTGTTATGATCGAAAAGGGAAGCCGCAGACCACTAAGAAACAAGCGCCGAATGAAAGCGTTTACTTACAAGAAAGACAATGATGAACCGCTAGGAAAGCTACAAAGTAAAGTATCCCGAAAGCCTAATATGAAACAGATTGTACAACCACCATGGTGGAACAAGGAATGTGAGGAAGCATGGAAGAGGAAAAGGCAAGCGGTCAAAAAGTGGTAAAAACTTCGTAAGGACAACACTAGTGAGCAACACATCATCCAAGAAGCTGCCGAAACAAAGAACAGGCGATGTGTGGATTTTAAGGAAATAGCCAAAGGAGCGAAAAAAGAAAGGTGGGAGAAATTTGTCTGGACAAGACAAAGGTTTACACAAATTTTGGAAGTGACACAATAGAATGAACAACGGGGGCACAGCAAACTCAATGCCGGATATCAAGAGCATTGGTGGAATGGCTATTCTGAGAGATGATACAAGTAAAGTAGAAGCCTTTCTTAAAAGATACATCACACATACTGATCAGGGTGATGCTGAGACAAGGAAAGAGGTATTCCAGAGGTTGAAGGGAATCATGCGGGACGAAGGATATGACAACATGATCACAATAGATTTTGTCAAATTTGTGCTAAAAACCACCACCAACACAACGCCAGGTCCAGTTGGGATACAGTACAAACACTTTAATGAGCCCAGTGACGAGGAACTGGAAAAGATTGTGGATGACTACAACAAATGGGTCACAACAACTCGACAAGCATATGTGGTCTTTGTCACAGATTCCCAGAGCACTCTGAGGAAGATTGAAAGTGGGAACCTTAGAGCTGAATGGACAGAGCTCCTGAAGAGGACAACACTGAAAAAGATCACGTGGATCTTCACCCCGGGCCATGCTGGAGTCAAGGGCAATGAGCGGACTGAAGAGCTCGCTGGGAAAGCAAAACCAGAAGGGAAGCTGTGCCCTGACAAACATGAAATTGTACGGTCAGTCAAGGAAAAAAGAGAAAAAGAACGAGAAGAGAC